AAACTGCACCTGTAAAGGTAGCACTGGTATGCGCCATTACTGTTGTTGATATTGATGACCGATATCAGAACAATTAGCCAAATCGTAATAGTGCAGTTTTCGTATGAATGTGAAAGCTGAGGTGCCGTGACCGTGATGCTTTCTAGAATTTTAAAAGGCTGATTTTTTCACGCGCAATGTGATTGGTCTTGCATTGCCGTGACCTTGCCGTGACCGTGTCCGCGCCGTGTTCATGCCGTGTTCCGGGTATTTGATTGGATGGAGAGTAAATTCTCGTGCAATGTGATTGGTCTGGCGTATCCCTTGCCGTGTCATAGCAGTTTTCGTGCCGTGAATTTTTCACAGTCATACGAAAACTGCAAAAATTAAGCAATTTTGCTGTAATATTTAAAGTTCTCGCGGGGTGAAGCTGTCATGAAGCTTTTTATCCGTTTGCATGAATATCAAAAATATATAATATATAAACATAAGTTATTCCTACGATTGTAAGAGCATGGTAGTACAGCATTTATCGTTCAATATCTAATGTGTGTGTAAGCCTTACGAGGACCAATGTAAATTGTTCGTTTACATTGTATTGTGTGTCATGTACACATCGAGACTAATAAACGAAACATCGTTTCCCGTGTATGCTATTACCATATTTTATGTATTGCCTCTTATTATATCAACTAATATCCTTATCCTTATGCATTGTCATTGGATGAATTTTCATAACAGTACTTTCCCAAGAAAGGTCGTATGACATAGTTATACTATTACTTGTTCGTGACTTCATTGTTCTTCCGTGACACCAGTACCGTTATTTGTTAAATGATTAGTGACATCGGTATCATGACAACACTAGAGAAAAACGTTTGCGCATGCGTGCATTCCAGCACGTTTTCTAAGAATTTTGAAGAGTTGGAGTGAGAAAATAAATGTTTGTTTTCTCCGAGTATACAAAAAGGTTCGCGAGTATACTCCTGTCAGACCAAGATACTGTATTAACAAACGCAATATGAAAGAATTAGCCTTAAGTTTCAAGCATGGATACTAAATTTTGGCATTTTATGAAGTCCAATTTATCAGGCATGTTTGAAAGTCAAATTTACATATGTTTTAACTAATTTGAATACGGATTCAGAGCATGCGCAGACGTTTTTCACTCGTGTATATCATCATGACTTATTTTCCGTGATAACTGTTCAGTTTACTTACACTACTAACTAACATATTTTGTTTGTGACATTAGTACTATAAGATGACACCAATAGTTCGTGACAGTATCGTGAAATATTCGTGGCGTCCTCAGCATCCTGTTCCTAACATTTCTACCACATTTACAGCAGCACAATATCTCACAGTGTTTACTATGGAAAACATATTATCACTAAGTTTCGAGAAAAAGCTTCTGAAATTATCATTTTCATTATTTCCAAATAATATTTCGAATTAACCGTTAATCTATATGTAATGCTACTCTCATTTCTCTGTGACCAATATCCTTCTTGCTACGCCTTTCTTATTTTCATTAATGACCCATTGTTGTCGTCATAAGCAATTGTGAATCACCGTTTATCGTCATCACGTTATTTGGGTTTTGCTATGTCATTCTAATCATTACTGGTGCTGTAATGACCTGACTCTATTTCAACATTGGCCTCATCATGTTGTAGTGCTCCAAAACTTGTGGCGATGGATTGCAGACGAGGAACGTCGAATGTGATGGCGTTCTTGGTAGCTGCGACATCAATCAAAGACCATTGTTCACTCAAATATGCAACCTTGGGACGTGTCCAGAATGGAAAGTTGGAAACTGGAGTGACGTTAGTAGAACTCGTTTGTTTAATCATGGAATGACTTTGGTTTGATTTGATTGCATTTACTGTTCTGATAAGATATTTTTTCACTTTTAGTGTTCCGTTAGCTGCGGTGAAGGCGTTAAATCAAGAGATGTAATGTGTAGTACAAGAGATGATAATTGCAGTATTCTACCAAAGCCTGAAGCAAAAGCAAAATGCATCTTGTCAAAGTGTCCATCATGGACCGTTGGTCTTTGGAGTAAGGTCAGTGGAGCTACCTTCGTATAATCACAAGGTGATTGAGGGCTAGAGAATAAGAAACGCTGAAGTGGGTAGATGTTTTTCTAATCTCCTTGTACCATTACACAGACTACCGAAAGAATTATTTCTAATTGCAAGAATCACGGAAAGATTTTGTATTTGGAATTTACTATAGTATCTTCTGCATGCAGATGAGTTTTAGTTTTCGTACTGAAAAGAGTTACCCAATTGGCTTGCTCTAGGGTAAAAGACTAGAAAAGAGGTATAAATATAGTTGACCAGTTTTTGCTTCACCGTAACTAAAATCCTTTACAATAAACCCATCCTGTAATCTCTCAGGAGTAATCAGTTCGTTCAGTTCGTTACTTCAATTTGATGAGGCTTACATTTCTTTGCAGTGTTCAACAACCTGTGACGAAGGCCTGCAAAAACGAGATGTCTCATGTAAGCCAGCATCCGCTCGATGTGATCGCCGAATCAAGCCTGAGGACACTAGGATCTGTAACCTTGGATTGTGCCCGAAATGGGATCCTGGGACATGGAGTGAAGTAATTAAACAATAGAGAGAAAATTGAATATAAATCTTTCCTTATATTGAAGCCAAGCCTTGCGACAGAGCTGATTTTGAAAGACAACGATTTTGAAAAAACAAAAAACAAAAAAAACAAAAAAAAAAAAACAAAAAAACCCGTAAAACTTGTAACCTTTAGCAATTATAAATCTTTTCACCCTGAAGAAACTGGCCAAAGAGTTTTGCAAGCTCAACTCCAACCTAGATTTTACGTGGCTTGAGAATCTATGAGAAATTTTCTTGATCACAATATTAATTAAACTATCGAAATCCTAGTAATCGTTAATTAGTAAAGGAATACTTTGTTTTTCAGTGCTCTGTAAGCTGCGGAGAGGGAGTCAGAAGACGAGCCATTAAATGCAATTCAAAAATATTTCCATGTAACAACAATTCACGGCCAATCCATGTAAAAAGATGTAACCCTGGTTTATGCCCCAAATGGACTGTTGGTCACTGGAGTATAGTACGTTCTGGTGGTACATTCATATGTTTGTTTTATGACTTTTACCATAATACAAATAAACCCGGTTTAGCAGTTTTTGAGTGACTACGAAAACCTGCAGTATGGGGTTAAATAACAGTGCCTTTTCCCAAATTGTCGATGATATGTGCAGCAATTAATTTTCCAGAGTCACTCAAAGTCTTGACAAAACAAGGAAACAACAATGCCCTGTAGTTTTAACCAGTTTGTTCTTTTTGGACTTAGTGTTCTGTTACGTGTAGCGATGGTATCCAAACAAGAGCTGTTCAGTGCAGTACTGGTGATGATCGCTGTGTTACCAAAAAGCCCCCAACTAAACGATCTTGTAATTTAGGGGATTGTCCGAAATGGATTGTTGGACCATGGGAGTATGTAAGTAATACCAAAAATTGAGACAAATACAGGGGTACCTATGCCACTATTTGTACTGGTATCAAATTTTGATGATGATGATGATGATGATGATGATGATGATGATGATAGTAATGCTTTGAAGATGATGATGATGATGATGATGATAGTAATGCTTTGAAGATGATGATGATGATGATGATGATGATGATAGTAATGCTTTGAAGATGATGATGAYGATGGTGATTTATGGTTGGTGTTCACGACGGTTGATGATCTGACAACCATGTTGATGGAAATCATGGTGTTGATGAATTTTTAATGACCTAGAGTTGGTTAGGGTTCGATTAATAAAGCAAAAGGGGGAGCATGATGTTAAAGTTATGAACTTTCCGATCGCGAGGGCGTGGTAAAGCTAAAGACGAAGATGATGGGAAGACAGGAGAAAAATGCTACGGGTGCCCTGCATTTCATGTGCTCAAACCATGTACGTATTGTTTATTATTTAGTGCTCGGTGACTTGTGGTTTAGGTGTAAAGAAGCGCATAGTGTACTGCAATACACGAGATGGTCGGTGTGATGAAAGAGTCAAACCAGTAAGCTCCCAAAGTTGTATAATGACAGACTGCCCTTCTTGGAGTGCAGGAGCATGGAGTAAGGTAATTTGATTTTTTTACTACAATACCCCCTTTCTTCAGTCTTTGATTGGTTATTTCTGAGATATCAAATGCTGTGCATCCTAGTGTACTTTGGGTACAAAGATATGTCCGTCATATGTATATATTGGTGTTTGCAGTGAAGTTAGATTATGAGTCAAGTTTGTATGCGTCTGGAAATGCCATCTTTGTGCTGATACTAAAATTTATTTCAACGCGGATCTCACCAGTCAAAGTTATGCAAATTCACTTTACATTTTCTTATTCATATTTACTTATGATATTTTTTGTAGTGTTCTGTGACTTGCGGTCCTGGAATTAGAATGAGAAGGGTTCAATGTCTCTCCATACAAAAAAATGTCTGCAATGCTGAAACTAAACCAGCTGAAACCGAGAGATGCCATAAAGGACCTTGTCCGTCGTGGCTTTTTACTGACTGGAGCAAGGTTTGTAGCCATCCCATTGCAATTGATTGCTACCACTTAGTATACTCAAAATTTAGGCAAAACGTGTGCACGTCTGCTTTTTTGTGTCGCAGAATTTTTTTAATTCCCCAATAGTGAATTTTTTCGTGGATGCCCCTCCTTTACACTTTCCCCGGTTCTGCAAACTATGCTTGCAGCCATCCCAATAGCGCATAATGCCCAATCTCTCGTACTTCTGTTTTTTACTGTAACCATTGCTTTTACGTACTTAGTGCTCTGTCACATGCGGAGTGGGATTCCAAACACGCTCCGTGACTTGTAGTGATCACAAAAGAAAGTGCAACCCTACCCGGAAGCCTTCGGAAATACTACGGTGTAACAGAGGAGAATGTCCAACGTGGACTATAGGTCCCTGGGAAGAGGTAAGACGATTTTAGTCTTCACTGTTTTGTATTAGAGAAGTTTTCGTATGGTTATGAAAAGCTCACGGCACGAACACGGCACGAACACGGTCGTGACACAGCAAGGCATTCGCCAGAGCAATCACATTGCACGGGAATTTATTCTCCATCCAATCAAATGGCCGAAACGAGGTATGAACGAGGCGAGGACAGGGTCACACCATTGTCATGGCAATGCCAGACCTATTACATTGCGCGAGAAAAATACGGCCAATCAAAATTCTAAAAAAAAACATCACGGTCACGGCAGTGCACACTTATGGCACCGACTTTTTCACAGTCATACGAAAACTTCTCTACATATTATAAATCTGGCTTCAACACTGTAAAAAACATATTTTGTGTCCAACAGTGTTCAACTACATGCGGTGATGGTAAACAACGACGGGAAGTAATTTGTTCAGGGGGAAAGCTAGCATCTTGTGACGAAGTTTCAAGGCCGATTGATACTCAAAAGTGCAACCAAATGGAATGTCCTGTATGGACTGTGGGGTTGTGGAGCGAGGTAAGATTCTTGACCTTTCTGAAGTTCATAATAAATTTAAGTTGACTAATCGTTCCATGCCATAACGGTATTACATTTATACTGCTTTTAGTGTTCCAAGACATGCGGTGATGGCATAAAACGAAGGGACGTTATCTGTCGCTCAAGCGAACAGCTCGCAACTTGCGACAAAGGTTCGAAGCCGATTGATACCAAAAAATGCAATCGCATGGAATGTCCTGTGTGGACTGTTGGAGTATGGGGCGAGGTGAGGTTATTAATTTAGTGCATGCAAGTTCAAAATGAATAACGCAATGATTTTTCAAACCCTTTCACCAAAAGAGAAATCAACAACCGAAATTCTATATAAAAAAGATCTACCCCAAAGAATGCTCCATTAACACTGTATTCTCCTGGGCCCGCTTGTACGAAGCCTGGATAGCGAGTATCCGACGGATAAATTTATCGGATAAGAAGCATCACTTTATCCACTTAATAAGGATTTATCCGTTGGATAGAGATATTCACCCTTCGTACAACCGGGCCCTGATGTTTAAAAAAATTAGCCACTTATTCATATTTGTTGTTATAGTGTTCTGCTACTTGTGGTGCGGCTGTACAAAGACGAGAAGTTGTTTGCACGTCAGCCTCTGGAAAATTAGATTGCGACAAAAGATCAAAACCTATTGACGTTCGTGCCTGTGAATTAGACGTATGCCCTACATGGATTACAGGGGTTTGGAGTAAGGTATGAACTTCATCTTGTCGTGATTGATTTATCGTCGATTGTCATCCAAATACTAATAATAGCATAACGGTACTCTTGTTTTTGACATTGGTGGACGCTTTTGTAATACGGACACCCACAGCCCACCTATGATCCTTATATATCTTTAACGCTGTCGTTTGTAGCAGAGCTGAGACGGATTTGGAGGATCACGTTATATTACGAACTAGCGTAAACATTGACGACTGAGACAAAACAGGCGTCGTATATATTATGATCGCCTGCCGATTCTTCAAGAATAATCTCAATAATTTACCTTTTTTTGAAGTGTTCTGCTACCTGTGGTGAAGGAAGAAGTACACGTGAAGTCAAGTGCAATACTATACCAAGCAAATGTAAACATGACGACAAACCAAGACACGTTAAAATATGTAATCTTGGTGACTGCCCACGTTGGATGGTTGGCCCCTGGAGTCAGGTAGGACGTCTTGCACATTGATAAACAGTATTAGTCTTGGTGATCTAAAGCTTAAATGTCTTTTAACTTGCCAATGAGATATGGCCGCCGTGTGCTAGGATTAGATAACATGGATGTCCCCAAATGTATTGCATGAATCTTCAAGTTCTTTCTGTGCAACTTTTGTTTCATTTTATTATATTTATATAACCATAAAAGGACGAATGCATTACTAAGACTAAAAGCTCCACGAGAACGCTTCTTAAAGTAAGCGGTAGACAAGTTGCTCACCATATCTCATGTCTTGCTTTTCTTTTCTTTTTGGTCGTAAAAAAAACTAGCAATCAAGAGGGGTGGAAATTAAAAGATAGTGTGTAATTACATATTTAACAAATAAAACAGCTTTTTCCGTGCTCCGTTCAGTGCTAAAGCACGCAGGAAGAGCACGAAAGAAGTGTAAGGAGAAGTACGAGCCGTGGGCGAGTAGGCTTGAGTGCTTACGGCGCTTCCAAAGTGCTTTAGTACTGAACGGAGCACGGAAAAAGCTGTTTTATTCGTTTTATTATATAGTTACTAATTTTATTTCGGTATTGAATTTATTTACGCAAAAATCAAAAGACGGTCGTAGGATCTAGCAGCACTTCGCGCGCGCAGATGGCGTCAGCACTGTGCTCCGTTCACTAATAAAGCACAGTTTTCGACAAATCAGCGCGTGCGTACTATCCCAACTATATAATAAATAGTTTTTATTTTCTTAGTGTTCAGTGACGTGCGGTAAAGGAAGGATGGAGCGTTCAGTGAACTGCACCATACCAAACAAATGTAACGAAAAACAACAACCAGCAATAGATGTCATTTGTAATATGGGTTCCTGTGCCAGATGGAATATTGGGGAATGGAGTCAGGTAGGCTTATTGCTGTACTTCTTTTAGCCAATGGTGTAAAATATAAGTGAATGAAAATTAAACAAAAGTACGTTTAATTTCAAACTGAAGTGTCTATATAGTTAACTTTATGCATTCTTCACTTTACAGTTGGCTTTTTTAATTTTTTGTCATTGAAATGATAACATTGAAAATTCGAGAAAAGCCAGATGTTGGATTTTTAATAATGTATTATCTATCTAATTCATCTTATATTTTTAGTGTTCTGTTTCGTGTGGTCAAGGAAAGAAAACCCGTACTGTGCGTTGTTTGGATGGTGATAGGCCCAGCTATGTCTGTGACAACAAAACAAGACCAGCATCTTTTAGTTCTTGTGACAGCAACCAGGATTGCCCTTCATGGAGCATTGGAAATTGGACTGAGGTAACAACTGCAGAACTAGTGAGGCGACCACCGAACGAGCAAACAATCAAACAATCAAAGAATCAATAAACGAATGAATGAGTTGATTGACTGATAATTGACTATGATTTATTTTGATTGTATTCAGTGTTCCAGGAGCTGTGGTATAGGTGTTACTGGCAGACAAGTAAGGTGCTTACAGGGAGAGAAAGCCCTGGACTATTCAGCATGTGATGTCAATACAAGACCTGTAATAAGAAGAGCATGTCAAATACAAGAGTGTATAAAAGGTGCATTTTGGAGCACAGGAAAGTGGGGAAAGGTAAGAAGATGATTGCTGATAAGTTAGAGGAAGCCACCTGTGTTACTGCATCTTCAACTCCACAACAACAGTACTTACTTTCCTAAGATCTTTTTTTCAGCCTTTTTCTTTTTCCTCGGAAAAGGACTTAAAACCGTAGGCCCCGTCTGTCTTCATTATATAACCCTTTATAAGGCGGACGTAAAAGATCCACTGAAGACGCTGGTGACCACCATCTTCAGTGCACGTGCTAAAAAGAACTCGAGGGCCACAAGTTAATCAGTTAACAAAATTACTGTCAAGAGTCACCCTTATTACATAAAGTCTTCAATCAATCGATCAATCAATTTTAAAAATTACAGGTTATTACACTGCCAGTTATGTATTACAGCCGCATAATTTTATATGTGAAAGCGGCCGTATTTTTTTTTTCTTTTCGAGATCATAGCTTTATATAGGGAATTGACGAATAAAAAATATCATGAATCAATGAATAAAGAAATCAGGAAAAGTTCGATATTGCCAGCAAAAATGGTATGCACATTGTCATTTCATTTGTAGTGGATGGAACATTGTCATTCCATTTGTCATGGTATAGAAAGAGCAATGATAAAACAATAACAAAGAATCGCTGCAAAAGACATCAACACTGACATAATCCCTATCAGCTTGATTGACAGTCAGTTGATTTTGCCCGCCCCAAATATCTAATTCTTTGTATTCCATGAAGTGTTCCGCCCAGTGTTCAGAGGGCGTCAGGACCAGGACGATCATGTGCGTCGCGCGGAACGGAACTCAAATCGAGGACAAATACTGTGACCGACGAAAGCTTCCAAGGACAAGTAAAAGCTGCAACAAATATAAACAATGCGGAGAGTGGGAAGTAGGACCATGGAGCAAGGTATCGTTCTATTCTCTTGAAATTGTTTTCTTCGTCTCTAAATTCTCTAAAAAGTTCATACTACAGGTTTTTTCTAAGTTGTCATCAAAGCAATGACTACTCTTTACTTTTAGTGCTCGACGTCCTGTGGTGATGGCTTGAAAACAAGAGCAATTCGATGCTTGCATAACTTGGAATACGCACACGAGGAAAACTGTGACCTTTCTAAAAAGCCAATAGATCAGTTGTTCTGTCAAAACAATATATGTCCTCTATCATCAGACGGCGTCTATAGATGGCAGACAACGTCTTGGAATAAGGTAATTGAGGAATCTTAGTCCCTTTCTTTTCTTGAATACATGTGTTGATTAATTCAATGATAGAGCAAAAAGTACATTATCGTGGCCGGGTCAATATACACCGTATTTCATGGTATTTGGTCCATTGAGGGATTTTGAAATTAAAACTTTTTACTGGATATTTTTCTTTCAGTGTTCTCGTACTTGTGGATATGGACGAAAAGCAAGGCGCGTTATGTGCATTGATAACCATGGCAACGAAGTGATTGACGAGTATTGTAATGGAAATGCTAAGCCAGTTCAATTCCTCCCGTGCTTTGAAGTGAGGTGTCCACCCAAGTGGAAGTTTGGAGACTGGTCAGAGGTAATTAAAAAAAAACCGAATTAACTGAGATACAGGAGGTTTGCACGTTTTCTTCGAGCCTGTAAAATGTGTTGCCATACTCTAAAGACCTCCTCGGCTCGGGCGTAACTTTTTTCATTTCAGATCTAGACCACGTGTCATTCCCTTAAGAATAAGATTCTTTGTTTGAGTCCTAAACATTTTCATGTGTCTTCTCGAGTGCAACCGAGCGCAACCGTTAAACGAAGAAATGATACTCTTAGGAATGACACGTGGTCTGAAATGGGAAAACATCACGCCCGAGCCGAAGAGGTCTATCGATCATGAGGGGAAATATTTGAGTCGTCCTTTAAGGCTTTTTTTCTAACGATATTCTTGTTAGCGGACTATTGATTGAATTTTATCTCTGACACCTTTCTTTAGTGTTCCAGAACATGTGGCCATGGAGGATATCAGGTTCGCCCTGTCACCTGTGAGGGGGTACCAGGGGCTGGAGGATGTAACGTTAGAAACAAACCTCCAGTATGGCGTCCGTGCAACTTTGGTCCATGCTCGGGGGAATTCAAATGGAAAATTGGCATCTGGTCTCAGGTATATTTCTTTCTATATGTTCGTAACAATTTTGAGTGTTTATCAAATAGTGCTCGAAATCGTAATTTAAAAGTCACGTTTTTATGCACTGAAATAAATGCATTTAAGGGTATAAATCATTAAAGAGAAGAATCCTCAATGCAGGAGACACAGGTCCTTTCATAGTTTGACAGTTTGAGGTGAAATTTAGGAATCAGGCTATCTAAACAAGGTCAGATAGAAGGGACTTTCTGCATGGAATGGTGATCCATTTTAACAGCGATTAATGTATATTTTCCCTTAGTGTTCAGTGAGCTGTGGCATAGGAGTAATGAAGAGAGACGTCACCTGCTTTGACAAGCAAGAAAATCGAAGACCAGATTCATTCTGTACTCTACCTGCTCTGAAGCCTGATGAAACTAGACCATGTCATATGAGACCTTGTAAGATCATTTTGCAGCATTTTACGTAAGAATACGACGCAGGACGCAGAAGATAAAACTAAAGTGGGGTGCGGTCAGGGAAGGGGATAGGACAAGGGAATTGCGAAATTCAACAATAAACTGGGGGGAAGGGGAAGGGGTGCGGGAGGGGAATAAAATATATTCCTTTACTGAATTTTAAGTCGGCTGAACGGGACAATCAGACAATCATTTCCTCAGTTATTCTATTCTCCTCCCAGTTTTTTTCTTTTGATCTTCACGTATTTGGTTCAATCCAGCCCGTTCGCTTTTTACTACTTAATTTAACGCTCGCATTCATATTTTGGTAGCATACAAGTGCAGCTGAGTTTGTATTGACGATATCCTTGCAATGTTTACAGGTACTCCTAGAACATGCAGAGAAATTCAGCTTACAAGTGGCTTACAGGCAGATGGTGAACACGTGCTTGAAATACAGGGTAGACTACTTAAGGTAAAGAAACAGACTTCAATAATAAAAATATTTATCAGACTTGCTTGGCAATAAAGAACATGCGTAATAGGTAAATTACGAGCCTTGTATGAAAAGACTGAAGAAGAGGGCAAATGGGCCTTTCACAACTTCAAGTCGCTTAAAAAATGAGCCAGCTCAACTAGAAACCGTGGACAGCTGTTTCGGCCTGTATTGGGCCTCGTCATTATGGTGTATCTAGTGAGCTGGTGTATCTAGTGAGCTGATAATTAAGAGGTTTATAGCTCGATCCTAAGTGACTCACCAACTAAGTGACTCTACTTAAGGATAATCAATAATTGATGCATGAGACATTAACAATATCTTTGGATATGCCTTATTCATAGATCTACTGTCATGGTATGACCACCGATAGTCCCAAGGAATACATCACCCTGAAGTCAGGCTCAAATGATAATTTTGCTGAGATATACCCAAAGAGGTAAGACATGCAATACCTTAGCAGATTTTACATGACTATTACAGTCTACTACACAATAGGTTGAATCGAATAACGACCACTTACAGGATAAATTGAATACTTGTCATTACTCAAAAACCAACATTCTTTTTAACTCTTTCGTATCATGTAATACACTTAAATTACAACAAAGAGTTAAATACAAGTCTGGTTCCCTGTCCTAAATCCTACGCTATCAATACACCTCATTTTGGTTCAATCAGTGACCAACATGCAGTGACGTGTTTTAACGATTAAATGCTTTRATACACTGGTCCTCAGTAAAGCATGCATAAACACGCCATAATACACCATAACAGGTAACCCTAAGATGGTCTCACAGTAATCATAGCACGATAACAAGAGAAAATGAACTAAGAGAAGGAATCCCCGTGCCCCATCATGTGCACACTTTGATGCTATTTCTAGAATCATTGATGCTATTTTTAACTCGTTACCATACCCGCGCGATAATTATGCTTCCCTTTAATGCCTCGTTTTTGAACACGAAAAGCGCCATATTTCGTTTCGTCCACGACAAAAACACAGGCTTTTGTTTACTGCAAGACTGGAAGCCGCCTACCCTCAAGAAATCAACCAATCAGGTTTTTCGCTCAAAATATCTCCAAGGTAAAAATAGTATCAAACTGTGCACATGATGGTTACAAGGCTATACAGGTAGGATTCCCTCTCTTAGTTCATATTCTCTTGACGATAACTATCATTCCGAAGAGTTGTAGTTTGTGTGGCGTCCTTTATACTTTATTATTTTTTCCAGATTACTAAATCCATACCGTTGTCCAAGAAATAGAAGCACAGAAGGCTGTCCGTGTGAACCACAAAACTACGAAGAATATGGTGGCTCCTACTTTTCAAAAATCAGATTCGATATCTCTAAAATGCTTATTATTGGTATGTATTAGCAGTCAATTTGATTCTGTTGTTTTAGCGCTGTACAATGAATATGTTTTAGATAGGAATCCTTACATTGGGACCTCTAGTGTTTTCCAATTCAGTCCACTTGATATTTTCTTGAGTATGTTTTCTTTGTTTACTGGTAACGTTTGAGAAAACGTATTTGTGGATGCAACTCCAGTCACATATCTTGCTTCCAAGGAACTGGAAATGGGAAAATGGGAAAACTCCACAAACGAACCTTTTTTCATAAATAAACGTGTATTATATTGATTATGTTATCGTTTGCAGCTGATGATATGGAGTTTGCTGTAACTAGGGGTCTAAAACCCCCTCTCTACGGTACAGCAGGGGATTGTTATAGTTTAGTAAACTGCCCACAGGTGAGCTAATACAGTCTTTTTTGATGACAAGGGTGAAAATATAATGATCCTCGTGTTATGAAGAAGCAACTACGATAAATCGCCAACCATTATATTAAAGAACTTGTTTAATTGCTTTAAAAGGGTCGGTTTAGCATAAATCTACAAGGAACTGGACTAGAATTATCGTCTGAAGTGAAATGGAGATCATCTGGACGCTCTCCTTCTCAAGTTATTTACAGATATCCTGTAAGTTTATGCTTGTCTCATATTGAAGTCGGTTAACACTTGTACCCTGACACTCCGTCTGTCCAACCACCCAGTCAACAAAGTCGATTAGTGTCCCTTCGCATTCTCCGTCGATCCCTATTCCCCATTCCGTATCCGGACCCGCATCGCATTGGACAAATAAGAGAGCAGACCAATTTAGGCAGTATCGACCAGTGTCACAGAAAGGCCTACTAAAGATTAAAATTGATGAAGTTATTCTCTTGCTTACTTTTGAATTCAGGAAGGCAAACAGGTTATTGGTAAATGTGGTGGTTTATGCGGGAAATGTTCTCCAGATCAAAGAGTTGGTCTTAAGCTTATAGTTAGTAAAGGTAAGAAAAAGTTTCACAATATCAATCAAAATAGCGCTAAAGAAGTTCGTAATTCGGGAGCAGAATTTCGTGCTTTCTGCTTTTTGCTCGATCAGAAATGTTTCATTTGCAGATTCTGGAATAGTCCACTTTACAGTTCCCTGTGCCATCTTGAAAGGTAACCCTGTATGGGCATCGACGCGAAGCGAAAATGGCGGTAGATTTGCAAAATGATAGTGAATCTAATTAAAAAAGGTTTTTTATCCCTGCAAGGTCACCGTCATTCTCTCTTCGATACACAGGCACAATTACTTTTGGAGACGGCGCTGGGAACTGTGAAAGAGACTATTGAGGTTTTATACCATCTCGTGACGGCAGCCATGTTAGATCGCAGGAGCAATACAATTGTTTTACATGAGAAAGAACTTAATTTCCGAGAGCAAAGGGATTTTATTGTTCTGCCATCTAATCACAGGCAGCCCAAGCTGTACGTATGGGCGCCGGCACGTGATGGTGCAATACCTCTATTGTAATCACTTGCAGCAAACATTTTATGTGAAAAATGGGGTGAAATCGTTGCATCTTGTGTATTGTACAATAGCAAGTAAGACTGAAAAGTTTCGCCAGGAATCTATTATGAACCATTTTTCATATTTTTACTTCTGTCATTTTTCTTTTCAGGAGACTAAATAATTTAGGTGGGATAGTCAATTTTCAAATTAGAAATGTAAATATTTAAAGTATGAAGCCTTCAACAAGAGACCGCGCAATTGTGGAGCCACTAAGCATTAAGAAATGGGAAGGGTTCTAACTTGCCTTGATGAATATATTGAGTTTATTCATTCTACGAACAAAAATCAGTGTGACACTGCTCTGCTAGCAACGTGTATGGTACCTCTGCTATGACAAGCGCAAAGAATGCACGTGAAATTATAAAGGTTCATATGTATGAAGGAATGAAAAGACATGCGGTGCTGTGCTGTGTCATATTCAAGCCTTGAGATTAAAGGAGATCTATATATACGGTCTTGCCTTTTTATTGGTTCACTACTGACAAACCTCTTTGAAGTCGAAGATCAAGATCTCTTGGTAAAGAACGAAAAGAAATGACCTGTTTAATTATATACAAAACATTGATGCTAGAGTCGACAGGAATTTGACGTTTGTATATTTATGTAAAGCGATAATATTATGGAACTCACTTGGACTCACGAAAAAAGATAAAATCATTGTACAGAAATCGAAGGAGTTGGGTTTTAACTTTGTTATCTATTTATAGGTAAAATGATAATGATTCGTATTATTTCTTCACGCACATCGCAGGAAGTCTTCAAGTAGCTTGTAACACTGTCTTTCAACAATTCCCGTTTGTCAAAGTTGGTTGGTTAAGAAGATTTTCGACGTAATTAAGTCACGATAGTCATAATACAGACCTTTAGCATCGGGTTTACGTCTAACCGCTAACCACTAACCGCTAGGAATCGGGCCCTGGAAAACGCCCACAAACACGGAGAAACACTCTGTATCCATAAAATTCAATATGGCCAATCTTCCTTCAACAACTTCGTTATGGCGCCTTGCTAAATGTCGGGAGTTTGACGGAAAACACCTGACTGCAGGTTGAGGTTTGCGGGGCTAGCAAGAACATCTTGCTAAGGGTCCCTAGCTTCATCACCACCGTCTTAGGACACCCAACTCTACTAATCAATTTTTTTCCAGATATTTTTATTTGATACCAGATTGTTCTGTTAGCTTAAAACGGTTTGATCCCTCTTATATTTCGACACCAGGAACCGCCCAATAAAGGTAGACATGGCATTTTCTGGGAAAAAAATCCCTTTTTTCCCAAGTAAACGTTTGAAATATGCGATGATAAGAATATTTAACTCCGACAGACTAAGTGCTTGTACGAGAGTTCAAAACAAAACGTTTTCCTAATTCCAGTAAAATGTTATTGATTAAAAGTATTGCTTCTGAGTAACATCTTTCTAATACATAATCCAGCTAGCTAAAAGCTTAAGTCAGCAATATCGTTTTGTACTTCTTCAGTTTTACTTAACCATCAAATGAGCTAAAAGATTCAGCTTGATGTCACTGCTGGATGCCAAAATATGAACCTTCACAACATTTACCAATTCGAGTGCCTGATGGAGCATTCACAGATAGACAGAAATATACCCTGGACGTCTATTTGTTACAAGTAAAGAACTTCTTCCGACAGTGACTCCTACGTTTGACGGAGCCACAGATGCGCTCATAGTAAAAGCATCCAATCATCCATGCATCCGTCCATCCGACAATTTATCCGCCCGTCCATTCCACCTTTTTTTCCGTCAAAATCATTCAGAATGCCCTGACGAGCGTTTGCAAAACACCCTCAATATTTAGCAATTATTACAACACAAACTATCAAATGCTTTCAATTACTCTTTATTGTTTCTTTAACCTATAATCATGATGACTTGACTTGATCCGCTTCTTACCACTTATACTATTTATATTTTGCTTTTTATCCCCTAATTGAAACAAACTTACTATCCGTTTCATTATCCATACTCATTGAATTATTTAGTTAGTTAACCATCAAATTGGCTAAAAGATTCAGCTTGATGTGACGGTGGCGGGCAAGAATATTAACTTTGACAACTGTACCAGATGGGATTACTCGTGGAGCATGTAGAGAGATAGAAACAACCCCTGGTCTTCCCTTTTTCACCTTTATGAAACGTTTGAAAGAGATTCTTACATTTCGTGGAACTACGGATACACCCACTCTGAACCTCTTGGATCCATGACCTGCATAATCTATTACAGCTCTGAAAAATGATTTTCTACCTCTTCTGATGGTCAGGAGACTCTTGTCGATCTTAGAGCGGATGATGGCTGTTTTTGGTTTGATCTCTTGACTCGACAGTCTCTGGAATGCGTTGCCGTCGTGTGTCTTGCCCGACAAGCGGATCTTAAAGGATTTAGCAGAAGGGAGGTCGAAGGCAGCGGTGTCATCTTTGAACGTCAAATCCTTGATTCTTACTCCGTGTTCGTTGACGAGATCGGCTTTCAATGCCGCCATGTTAAGACGTGAAATATGTGGCAGAAGAAGTTTCACCGTTGCCTTTTCCCCTGTAAAAAGTGGGGTTAGTATAATAATTTTGATTCGTAGTAGATTAGTTTATTTGCCTGCAAGCATTTACATCAATTCGGCTCAAATAGCTCAAGCTAGCTTACTCATTGGAAAATAACAGGTGTTTTCTACTACCAGTAATATAATGTCACATGATGCTCACTTTTCAGCTTTTGACACTTACCAATTAATGGATTGGATATTGGAACAACCATTCCAGACGGTTTCAGAGTCCTGACAAACATCTGGTCAAACTCAATGTTGGAAACAGCACTGGCCTTGATCTAAGTAGAAAACGGATATTAAAAACCATTAATTAGCCTGGGCTTTTCATTGAGTTTAGTTCAAGCATCTTGGCAATTATATGCATGTATAAAACTGCTTAATAGGAATAAGTACCTCGTAGGACAGACCACGCACACCGGCTGGGACAGACAATCTCCAGGTTCCCGTTGTTGGATTCTTGATTAACCAAAGCTTTCCTTTGTTCATATTTAAAGTATGAGCTACGTTTCTACCTCTGGAAYCAACAAGCTTTACGCCATTCCATTTGGATTGTGCGGAGATAGAAACGATAAGGTTTGCAACGCTTTCGTCAACTGGAAAAGCTACATCACGCGACGCTCGTTCCCAAAGGCCGATGAGATCCCTTTTGCCTCTTGTGCTTCTGCTTCCTCCTGACGAAATAATGGTAGAACCGTCCAGGTCGGTTTTGACAAGGGCATCGGCACTACTGATAGCTGAAGCACTCTTGAAAAATAGACCCAAACCTCCGGTATCTTCCATTATGGCCTTGTAATCAGCATTGTTTTCTGGATGACCACAACCCTTAGTACTGAAGAAAAAGTTTACAGGCATCATGTAGTCCAGGGCATATCCAATGGCGTTATCTCTATTGTAATCTCCTCTGGCCTTGGGAGGTGCATCAGTGAAGACATACATGGGAGAACTTGGTAATGGATCTCCAACTTTGATAGCATTGATAATTCCATTAAAAGCCAGCTCGTTACAGTCACCTCCCCCCCTAGCTCGAAGGCCATTGATAGCTCTTATAAAGTCTGCACGTTTCTCATATGAGTATTTTTTGACAGGTCCGGAGCCTGTAATAAGGAAAGTATTTCGTTAAAAATCATATATATATATATCATTTTTTTAGAACACTAACACATTTAGGAATAAAAGGTGGCGTAGCAAAAGCACTAAAACAGTATTCCTTTTACCTCTGGGGTGGGACTCGGGTTTGATTCCCAGAATCGTCAAATGTTAGAAAATTTTGTTAGGTCTCTCCATTGATTCTGAGATATTTCTCTGGGTTTTTAGTTTTCCTCCATCCGCAAAAGCTAACACGCTAAAATTCCAATTTCGATCAGCCCAAAGCTTTTTGTCATTCTTACAGCTAATCTGCTATTTGTTTATTGTTTATTTTGTGTTTTGCTATTTCATTATTTTACGAGGCTTGTACGCAATTTCCTAGTACGAGCTACTTCTATTCAATTAAAGTAAGATACCTCATCATTTGAGCATGCGGGGATGGCGAGTGTGCTAATAATTGGTGACTGGATGATTAGTTCGCAAGACTGAAACAAGGGACGGGCACACGTCGCGTGATATGATTTCTCATCCATATATGTAATGTTTGAGCATGGTGCGGCACATGTGAGGTTTGAAAAACTACCGAATTGTGCTCTAGTTCAAACTTTACCTGGATCGTTGTATGGAGAAAGAATAAAATCCACTTTTCCTTTTCTCTTGTGCCTAGCTATGGCTCGTGCAATGGCTTTGGCTTGGTGGATTTCTTGTCCCATACTTCCAGTGGTGTCAATGACAAATACGAGAGAAACATCTCCATCCACGGCTAGGAAATCCTAAATAATACAAAAGGAGCTGTTTAGGAATTAGCTTTTCGCAGAGGAAGCAAGGCCAGAATTAATCCTCTTTAATCAGTTACCCTGAATTTATCTTCTCCCAGAGCGTCTTTGATCTCTTTGATAATCTTATCACCAGTACCACGACAATCTTCTTGCTTTTGCAGGATGAATCCCATCATGGTTCGTGCGTAAGTGTATCCCTTGTGATCCATTGCTTTCTTTATCCTATCGATCATCTCATTCTTGTTAACTTTAACATTCTTTGGAATACCTTTAGCTGCTCCCATGCCTAATCAAATTAAACAAATTCCAAATTGATTAACCAATTGTATTCTAATGTATGGATGGATAAGAATTAAAAGTTCTCACCTTTGACAACTTGGAAGATAGCTCCCACTAAATGGTTATTAACCTCTACGCTTCCTTTAGGCAGAGCATCAAGAACATACTTGACAATATCATCAACGCTACAAGGTTCTGCGGTAAAACAAAATCAGTGTAACCTTGAGCAAATGAATAATATAAGAAAAGTTGTAGACAGTCACTCACTTGGTGCACATTTGTTTTTGTTGCACTTTCGTGCCTCTTCAGCAAGACCAGAGCATGGTTTTCCACCATGGGAAGGTGGCGGGTTGGTGCAGGTGCGAGTTCTCTTCTGCGTTCCTCCTCCGCATTTCTTGCTACACGAAGACCAGGCCGAGTAAGGACTCCATCCACCATCAACTGCCATTTAACATTTGGAATTAAATCGTTATTATAGACATGACTTCATACACCGATCCGCTTTACTATAGGTTTTCACTTATCAGAAAAGCCGTGACCATCTCGAGCACGCTTTTATAAGGATTTAAAGGATTTGTTCTAAGACTTTCTTTTGAAGTATTTTTCTTTGTTTTGGCTTTTTTTTAAAATTTCTGTTCTTACTAAAAGCAATCAGAATCCTCTCACTCAATGGACTTTTCAAAAATATTTTAATACTAGGAGGAGCTAACATGAAAATCAAAAAGAAATGACTCAAAATGCTTGATATAATTCACAAACCTGAACAAGGGTTAGAGTTACAGGATTGTGTTACTTCTGCAGATCCTGAACAAGGTTTTACACCAAGGGAAGGTGATGGGTTGGTGCAAGTACGAGTTCTCTTCTGTACCCCTCCACCGCATGTGTTACTACACATTTTATATTGTTCATATAAAAAAATAATTTATTCTTAATCCTTTTGAAATTGAAGTGTTTGCGAAGTTCTTTTACCACCTAAACATTTGTTGGCAAAAACGTTGGTTATCTAGTATTAAGAAGTATTAAGAACTGTTTGACAATTAAGTCACAAACCTGGACAAGGCTCAGAATGACATTCACGGGTCTCTTTTGCTAGACCAGAACATGGTTTTCCACCATGGGCAGGTGCAGGGTTGGTACATGTACGAGTTCTCTCCTGTGTTCCCGATCCACCACAGGTCTTACTACAAGTAGACCAGGCTGAGTAGGCACTCCATCCACCATCAACTAGATTAGAAAATAAAAGGAAAAAGATGGAACTTATTGTAGTTTTTAATATTATCGTTATTATTATAGATCATCGGCATGATCAGCATCGTCTTCATCGCACACCATCGTGAATCATCATAATTTCATCACAATCATCATCATCAATATCATCCAGCAATATCTTCAGCCATTTTACAAAATAAACGAACAATATTAGAATTCAAAGGCAATATTGATTTTAGAGTTCATCACTACTTAGCAAATGGAAGTAGTATATTATGACGGAAAATTTCAAAGAGAAAGTCTCACAATACCTGGACAAGGCTTAGCAGCTGAGCAAGGCTTGGTTACTATTGATTTTGTAATCTTCACGTTGTACGATGGACAATTGGGACGAGTGTCTTTGGAAAGTATAAGTTTATATTTGACACCTTCGCCGCACTCCTTTGCACTACACTCGGTCCATTCTAAAACACAAGAAAACGTTTAATATTCCGCAGTTCTTATTAAATAAACGTTTAGAAAATGTATTTTGCATATTCGTGCGATATCTGTTTACTCTTGAAATCTAACGTGGAATTCCCTCGTTTGTTTCCTTTTTTTCCCTCGTGAATTTCGCTATAGAATTGCAATCTCTACAGTAGATATTTACCATCTTTCCGCCGGTACATGAAGTTAGACCATGTGGTTCCGATGCCAAATTTGCCTTGGACTTTACAGTTGTCCTTGCAGCCATGCTTGTCGTACGTCGCATAAGCTTCTTTGGATCCCCAGCATTCTTTAAAGTACTGAACACCAAAGTAATCATAACCTCGTTTCTCGGCTTCTTTTCGGCATTCTTCGAAGATGTGTTTATAGTCACTGGATACTACACTTTTGAAGTAATGAGGCATTGCTCGGTCGCGGTCATCTGCGTAGCAACCAAGCGGCTCCCACTCTGTACAAGAGGAAAAAAGTGATCTGTTAAGCAAAATATCTAAGACTAGTGTTGACTAGTAAAAACTGAACAGGCGCGCCCTCTCCCACTTTTTGAGAAATAAAATTTCAAATTAACCCGGCCCCATTCGTAATAAGTATGCTAAACTACTCACAATTATAAAACTAAATCATATTTAAAAATAAGAGAAGCACAACGCATACCAGCAGATGTGCGCTTTCATTTTCATATTAGCCCCCCCCCCCCCCCCGCCCCAATAAAAATTATGCTCCTAAATCCTTGCGAAGCAAAAACAAAAACAAAAACAAAAATGGTTTTCAGTAATAAAAAATCACTTTGAAAATAAACGTTTATTATTTTTCAACCGTAGTTAGTGTAAAACAGAGAGAGAGAGAGAGAGAGAGAGAGAGAGAGAGGGGGCGAGAGAGAGAGAGAGAGAGAGAGAGAGAGATAAAGACACCACGAAACAAGTAAGCTTACCAGCTGCATTGGCGGCATGCACTGCTACAAGAACAACCAATACGACCCACATTTTATGTTGGACCATCATGATGGAGGAGACAGGCAAAGTAGCTAAATGGAACAAAGTAAGTACGGAATATCAGTTGATCATAGATTAATATCAGTTTTTAACAAGCACAAATAAGATGCAAAATGAAATGTTTTCTTTCTTAAATGAGTCGCACATGATAAAAAATGAATTAACGGGCTTTTCTTTATCAACTATATATACTACATTTGGGTGTGTAAACACTCTCTCTTCACACCTGAACTGAAAGCTAGCGATTCCGGCCCTGTTTCGCATCTAATTCCTTACTATGTTTCGTAACATTCGTCCTCCCCCTTATTTTTAGGGACCTTTTTCTTAACTTTCCTGTCTAAATTTCTTAGTGTTCTTTATTTTTATAACTCATTACCACGGCCCAGGATTTTAGTCTCCGTAACAAAAACTTTACTGTGAGAACTTTGATGATATGTGGAGCTAGATTTTGATTAGCTTTGCAACACAATGTTCTTTTATGAAAGATGTTCTCGCAACAAGACGATTCTCTGATAATGGGTCGTTGAGCAGAAAACTTTGGGAACAAATTCGAAGTAAAAGAAACAATACAGTATTGAAAGGCTACGAAGATGAAACCTACGCGTACAACAAAATCTTCAAAGATATGACCATAGCTTACCTTAACTCCGTTTGTTGCAAGACGTTTGGTTAGTAGATTCACTACCTAATCATTCCTGCATTTAAAGCCATGGTGAAAAAAAAAAACTTACTGAAATGTGGCAGACAAATGACTGGTAATGGCGTGGTGCATGGTTATTCATGATTAAGACAGCAGTAAAACAATCATTGCGTTACAGCAGTTTTTTCCTATGGAATTCAAACTTGTCTTGTCTACAAGGATTACGAGGCAGCTACTTTTATTTTCACAGGACAGTAAACTACTGAAACAATTTATAATGGTAATTTTTCCGTGATCAGAGTTTTATATTCTTGGATATTTTAGCGAATTCGTTGAGCTTGTGAGACATAGCAACGGTAGCTTAGCTAACGGGGTCGGAAACATGAATTGATGATAAAACGCAATTATCATTCTTTGTAGACCCTACTGTTGTATGGATATAGTGATATTGTCTCCTTTACTATTTACGTACCGTCTAATTTATGATCAATTTTTGTCGAAAATAAAGTACTTTTCTCGGTCGTATTATTGTAAAGAAGGCGAAAAAAGAAGAAGAAGACTGAGAAGAAAAGGAAAAAGAAAAAGAGAAGGAGTAGAAGGAAAACGAGAAGGAGAAGGAGAAATCGAAAGGGAGAGAAAATCTACAAAATTCATCATTGAAATCGCATGAAAGAATTAGTCTAAGAAAGCGTACTAATGGAAACAGGAAAATCAAGCAGAACGAGAGTAGAATATATTTTTAATATAATTCCCCTTTATATTGTCGCTTAGTGTAGAAAAATCTAGAAGTATGTTTTCAAGTGATGCAACTTAACTTTCACATTACACCCAATAATAGATTCCGCCAGTGAGTGCGGGGTGTGATGCGGGAAGAGTGATCATGTCGGCTCTTTAGAAATAAGCTTTTTAAGAGTTTGGGTGACTGCCATCCGAAAGGGGGTGTAATGAAAAGTAAGAACGGTAAAAGTAAGCAAATTGACTGAACAGAGGTATTATTCTAGAGTCGAACTATTCCCTGAGAAAATACTCAGAAAGTAAGGAATTGAAATAAGACTGCGATGTGTTTTTTTTTAAAGGACAACGATAGGAAACATATAGTTTTTACTGCACGAAGTTTCGGTGTCATCATGACTCTGATTATCAAGTAAAAACTATATGTTTCCTATCGCTGTCCTTTCTAGTATTATGCTTCTCCAAGCAACTACTTATCAAGGTGTTTTTAAAAAATGATTTTATGTTTCGAATTCATATTCCCGTCTTGTTGATACTTAAGGTGGCTCGATGGGGTTTTCTTGCGCGGTACCTTCCAACTTCAAATCGCAAATACGCCAACACTAGCAATTCATTGGGGAAAAATATCTTGTGGAGGTTTTATGGAAATACGAATATTTCGAAGAAGCATGTTTTTACAGAAATCGGAATTAATATAAAACTGCTATTAAGTATTGGTGCGTTTGCTTTACGACTCATTTTCTCCATTTTTTTGACAAGTTTCTAAATCGCACTTGAGATCTTGGAGGATGAGTACTTTGCTCAAGGTTCAGAAAATTTAAAGAAAATCTGTGAGAGCACTTTCGAGAAATTTGACCTTGAAGTTTTGAAGCATAGAAATAAAAGCAAAAATAAAACATTCCAGTAACGTCGTGGAAAACGTATTTACTCGTCAAGAAAACCCCAGAGCTAACTTGACTGAACCTTTAATTCATTACCTATTTTCAAATTAATCACAGATCTTATTTTTTGTATCGTATCTTTAATTTATCAATTTATAATATCACTCATGTCTGCCGTCTAAAAGGGAAAAGGGTGTACATATGAGGTGAATTTCAGTCCAAGATGTTAAAAAATGTCATTGCAAGCTAGTTTAAAATTTCGATTAAACATGAACCCAAGGAATACAATTCCGAAATATAGGTTCATCAAATGTCGAGAATCAAAAATGTTATTAACATTTATAATACAATTAAAGTGTTATTTCCTTAATTTTAACGAAAACGCGCAAAAAAACTTTGGAAATAGAAATGAGCGAAAACATTAAGATAGAATTCTTTTCGTATTCAAGCAGTGAGCGCCATAAAACTATTTTCTTGAAGAAAGGCTGTTGCACAAGGCTAAAATCTTGTTATTCAGAAAGTTTAACTTGTTTGGAAGTAGAGATGACCGATGAAAGTGGAATCAAAGTGTTAACGGCCCAAAGCAAACATTTTATTCGAAAATGAGGTTTAGGCTTTCATTTGCTTATTTCCCATATATTTTCTATTAAAAAAGGCCTGACAAAGTAACAACACAAATGCAACAAAGCATCTTTGTACAATTGAAAATACCGCTTCAAACAAGCATTTTATCATAGTGCATCAGTTTCTAACTGTTTAAAAAAAGTTTAGAGTGTTAACCCAAAACGAAAATAACATAGCAAAGACTGCCTTTATAACATCGGCGGAAGTTACGAAAACAGAGGTTCCATTCACCAGCATATATACTTTTCTCAGTTTCTATTTAATGTATTAAGACGCTATTAAAGCCAAGTTGTGAACGATACTCTTAGAATTCCTGATCTTCTTGTCTGAGCAATAGCACTTGAATATGGATGGTTGCTAACTCGTCTTCTTTAAACGCAGTGCACGGGTCGGGTAGCTTGTTCCAAGCCCTGCGGTCGCCACATGTGAATTGAGTTTGTTTGATGTGTTGTTCTCTCCCATGCTACAAGGGTTTTCTCCGGTTTCCTCCCTCCGTGAATATCAACATGTGAGTTGAGCGTTGTGTGCATAGAGCATTGAATGTAGTAGTAGTGTGTGTGAGCAGAGGAGGGTGATCAAGGCGCGTGGAGCATTGTGGGTTAAAAGTTTCATTACGCTTCATTTGCGTTTGACCTGTGCGAACATCTCCTGGCGAGAAAGTATTATGAATGCCAAATCTGTCTCACCGTTTTGGTGTGGATTTTCTTGCTGTTGGTGATTTCCTATATGCTATCTACAATGCGTAGACTTTCAATTTCTACATACTTGTACAGACGTGAAGTCTCTGCCATTTATGTCGATAAAACTAGTCGGGGGCCACGTTAGCTTCACTGACAACCCTCGCGAACGAAGGATTGTTTTGTTTCCTGACTGCCAAAAAATCCGAGAACTAAATGAGGAAAGGTGGCCTTTGACCATAAGGGCTGTTACTTGCTACAAAATAGTGCTAAGTAGTGGATATTTAATTTGATTTTAATTTAATATTTAATTTGCGATTGATTAAGTATTAATAGAACATCGAGCATCCAATCAACCAATCGCTTGACATCACATACCCGGCGACTAAGATGACAAGCCTTGAATCGATTTTTCTCTTCAAAAAAATATCTCTTAAAACTATATATTCATTTCATTACCAACATTCATTTTTAATAATTTCTTGTCAAGCTGAGGCTCTTATCCTTGAAACTTTTTTGTTTGGAATAATTATAAAGCGTTCTTGTTGTTTTGGGGACAATATTAAAGCTAAAGTCGAATGTTTATGGATTTCGCACATCTTTTAAAGGTTATATGATAACTGAAACTTTGCATTGTAAATTTAATAGTTTAGTTTCCATTATAATGGTGCTGTTGACTTGACTTTTCGCCAACTATCTCAAAATCTAGACCTAAACTTTGAAAGCGATTTATTAGTCTTTGTAGACCAAATTTTTGGTTATATTATGGGGAAGTTTAAAGAAATTCTATGAAGCCGTTTTTGAGTAGCTTAATTACTCAGGATAAACTAACAAGACCCTGGGGTAGACTGGGATACCTGGAAGGCACTGTTACTAGCTGAGCCTCTAGGAATCTAAAGCTGAAGTGAAAATAATAAGTTGTTAACTTTAAGGGACGGTGGTAGCGATCTATATACAGTGACAGCCATTTTGGTTAAAAAATTCGTTTCATAAAATCAAAATCATCGCGAAGCTATCCATTTTGCAGTCCAAGTCCCAGCTCCATCGATTCGAGTCCGAGTTTTGGCATACGGTCCCTCTCTCCTCATCTCTCCTCCCTAAGCCCCCCCCCCCTCCCCCCTCCCAAAACCCACAAGGAACGCCTGGCTACGCAGGCTACATACGTTATTATGTCATCGGTCTTCCTATGTAACGCCGGGATGCTCAAAGCCAGAGCGTAAACAGGGTTGCCTGGATTTTTGCGTATAGAAACCGTGTTGCATTAGGCGTTGCGTTATGCATGTCACGCCACAAGCTTTTAATTTCTACAACGGACTTCCTTTATTTATATTTATGTCAGTGTCTTTAATTTGGGTCAGCAAAGCTTCATCGAGTTTTTGACCAATTTTGATAGGGATCAAACCCGTGGAATCGGTTCACCCTGAAACCCTTGATTTTCTTGTAAGGCAGGCCGATTTTTCTTTAATATTACTTCGAAAATGCTATACTTTTTGTTATTCGGTAATTTGTTTTAAATTTATTTTCAGTCATTGATTTCTGAATAGATAACTAGCTAAAAACTAGTGTGAGACGCGTCGGTGTTTCTAATGAAACAGTAAGGACAAAAAGATAAATTATACACCGTCAAAAAATGAAAAAACTTACTGACGTTTCGGACGCTAGTCCTTCGTTGGAGTAAAAGAAATCATTGTGTAAAGCCAGCTGGCTGTCATAAACATATGCTTGTCGCAAAAGGAATATTTCCCTTAAGACGGGTGTTCTCTGCATGATATTGAAATAATTACAATGTTCTGCCTTTTTTAGGCTATAAAATAAACAGTTTTGCATTACGTATGTCACACTATTTGTAAATTTGATCTTGCGCCATGACACAATAAGAACAAATATACCAATGTTCTCAGTCAGAATCACCAATTAATTTTCTTATCTTTTTACCATCCTTTGTTATTATATTATTTGCTGAGGTGGCTGTTTATTTTCCTTGTCAGAAAATGCAGAAATTGCGCAATAGTAAAAGTCTTCACGGGACCACCCACTATAAAACATATCGTCTCTTTTAAACAGAAACCAAAAACTTGTGACGTCATCTTTTCTCAATATCTTCATTCAGAAATCAATGCCATTACACCAAAGCATATTTTAGCGATCATTACAATGAAAAACGTCAATTGCTTTCTGCTGGTTTTTAATTTTGCTTCAGTCTACAATTATGACTTTACTTGATCCATATCTTATTACTAATACAATTTATATCTTGCTTTTTTAACTCTAATCGAAACATATTAAATACTTGTTTGGTTATCCATACGCATTGACTTATTTAGTTATTTAACCATCAAATGAGCCAAAAGATTCAGCTTGATGTCTCCGCTAGAGGCAATAATATGAACTTTGGCAACTGTACCAACTGGGGTTCCTGCAGGAGCAGTCAGATAGGCAAAAACGTACCCTGGGCGTGCATTTGTCACTCTTACGGAACTTCTGACAGAGAGTTTCAAATTTGATGGAACTACGGATGCCTTCACTGAAAACGTCTTGGATCCACTACCTGCATAGTCAATTGCAGCACGGAAAGATGATCTTACCCCTCGTTTGATGGTCAGGAGACTCTGGTGGATCTGAGTGCGGATGATTGCGGTTTGGGGTTTGACCTCTTCACGCGACAGTCTCTGGAATGCGTTGCCGTCGTGTGTCTTACCGGACAGGCGGATCCTAAAGGCTCTAACAGAAGGGAGGTCGAAGGTGGCGGTATCATCTTTGAACGTCAAATCCTTGATGCTCACTCCGTGTTCGTTGACAAGATCAGCTTTTAATGACGCCATGTTAAGACTTGAAATATGTGGCAGGAGAAGTTTCAAGGTTGCCTTTTCCCCTGTAAAGACGGGGTTAGTATAGTTAGCATGGTAATTTTGATTTGTAGTAATTTAGTTTATTTGCCTGCATGCATTTACATCAATTCGGCTCAAATAGCTCAAGCTAGCTTACTCATTGGAAAATAACAGGTGTTTTCTACTACCAGTAATATAATGTCACATGAT